ACTCTCCTCTCTTGCAGGAGTGTGTGTGACTCCTGGGATCTGCAGTTTCCTTTTCCTCCATCTAGGTGTTTCCCTCGGTCACCAGGGGAACTCAGGACATCAGAAATGGCTCCTAGTCTACAATTCACAAGATCTCTCATGAGATTACTTTAATTGCTCAGTGGTTACGTTAGAAGATACAACTGACTTATGTGGAACAAAATAAAACCAGGAGTGTAGGAATCAAACTCACTTTCTCTCATGAGATAAATCTAAGCTGTCTCCCTAAAGAAAGTTGGAGGAGCAATGAACTTCTTCAAGTCCTACTGAGAAAGGTCACTATCCCAGCACTAATGAGAAGGGAGGGTCAGTGCCACAAGAGAAGATAGACAGCTCTTGTAGAACACAGTTCGACAAAAGGAGTTAGCAAACCTGCGGAGAAAATACAGACCATAGCAGCTGGAGCTGAGGGAGGTAAATCTCCAAATTACTGAAAAGTAAAAAGCTGTTGAAGGCTTAGCATCATTCGGTAACTAGCCCTCCTGAAGCCCTGACCTTTATCAGATTCAGAAAGGGCCCTGTTTCCTCTTCCCGAGGTGAGCTCTAGAGCAGTGGTCCTCAAGGTATGATCCACAGAGCCTGAGAGAACCCTGAGACCCTCTCAGGGGTTCCATTAGGTGACACTATTTTCATAAAACTAAGATGTGGTTTGCCTTCTTTACTGTGCTGGCCTTTTCACCGACGGTGCAAAAGCAATGGTGGGTTAAAACTGCTGGTGCCTGAGCAGGAATCGAGACAACAGCACCAACTTCGATCCTTCACCATCACACACTTCTTCACCGCACAGTGAAATAATAAATGCCGGCTTTACTTAAGAATGTCCTTGATGGTGCCGTAAAAATTATATTAAGTCTCAATCCTCTACTATCTTTTTAATATTCTTGTGTGACAAAATTAGAATACATTTAAAACACTTATGTGGCATACAGAAAATGATGGTTCTCTATAAGTAAACACTTGTGTGAGTGTTTGAATTGCGAAATTTTTCTGTGAAACACCATGTTTACTTGAAAGAATGAATAACACACAAGTGATGGGTTAGTGAGACTTTGGTATTTGGCAGACATTTTGGGGGTGGGGGGAACAAAGCTGTCACTTCAGGGAAAACAACTGACAGTATTTGTTGCCAATGATAAAATTTGAGCTTCCGAGAGAAAATTAGAATTTTGGCAAACTCATATCTTGCCACCATGAGCTTGACAGCTTCCCAGTACTTAACCATTTTTCTAATGACAGAGTGGTAATATGAAATACGGTTTTTTGATGCTGTATAATAAAATGTGGCAATAAGTGGAAGATCTGCATAACTCAATGAACCACTCTTTTCCAAATACCTCTCATACAATGTTACAGATTCACGCATGGGTAAAAGATCCTGTCAAAGTGAGAGACCAACAGATTTTAATGTAAGAAAGCATGAAAAGTCAGTGGTATCATTTCAGACTCCCTACTGCAACTAACCTTCACAAACCCACCCTTTAACTTCTGTGTAGTACCAAAGAATACTCACAATTGCCTGAAAAGGACATAGAAATACTTCCTTTTCCAACTAAATATCTGCGTAAGGATGGATTTTCTTCATAATTCAACCAAAACAACACATCAAAACCAGCTGAAAGCAGAAACATATGAAAATCCAGCAGCTGTCTTCTATTAAGTCAGACATTAAATAGATTTGGAAAAACAATGCCACGCTTCTCACTAATCTTTTTTAAACAAAAGCACTTTCATTAAAAAAAAATGCTACTTATGTTAACTTGTAATGGATTTATTATTTCTAAATGAATTAATAAATATTTCAATTTCTAATATAGTAAATATCAAGACATATGTACCCTACTCTAAAAAATATAGTGAATACCCCTAAGAGCTTTTAAGTGCTTAGAGGAGTCCTGAGACCAAAAAGTCTGAGCACCTCTGGTCTAGAATACTACTGGTCTAGAACACTCCATGATATCCACGAGGGCTCCTAAGGACAAGGTCCTGTGTGTTTCAAGAAATTAGTACTCTCCAAAAAGCTACGTCTGGCTTCCCTGCTCTGCCAGAAGAGGGTGAGAAGTTTGGGCATTAGTGGCACTTTTTCTCTGTATTTCACTGACAGATCAAAGCATCTAGTCTCATGCTAAAATCTAGGAAGCCTATGTATGATCAGACAATGCGAAGGTCAGAAAGGCATCTAGGTGGGAAAGCTAAACTCAACTCCAGGTCATGAATATCAGATGCTGAAGAAGTTAAGGTTTCATCTAGATACAGTTTTCAGCAAGTGACTTTTCATTTACATACTCATTTTTGTATTTGGTTATAAATTCTCTGCCTCCTTCTTCCATCCCATTTCCTCCCTACTCTTTCAATGGTGGTGTTCCTCTGAGGTCAGTCTTCCTATGTGGCTTGGCACATGATAAGCGCTCAATAAATGGCAGCTGCGATTATTACCACACACTCTCCCATAGTAATCTGTTCCATCCCATAACTCCAATCACCTCCTACATTCTTAACTTTCTATCATCACCCAGACCTCTGTCATGAGCTCCAAATCTTTAGAACCACCTCCTAGGCCTTTTACCCAGATGTGCTGCAGGGACCTCAACTCAGCATGTCCCATGTGTAACTCCTTTATCATTCTCCTCAAAGCTGCCTCTCCTAATAGTTCCTCCTACATCAAGACCCACCTGGTCACTAAAGTCAGAAACTTAGAATCATGCTAGACTGCTCCTTATCCCACTCTCCTTACATCTACTCTGCCATCAGATTATGTCTACTCTACCATCTTTAATTATCTCTCAAAACCCTCTCCCTTCCAACTGTTACTGCCATAAACCCCTCATCATCTCTAGCCTGGTCTCTAGATTTCTCATTGGCTTCTCCTACCTCCAGTCTAAAATTCTTCCTATTCAACCCACACACTGAGACTACAGTAATTTCAAACACAAATCTGATGCTACTTTCCTCCTAATTATCTTCCTGTGGTTTTCCTGCAGCATACCCTTCAAATGGTTTTACTCATGTATACCCAAAAGAATTTTTAAAAACATGTATTCCTTGTACATCTTAAAGTTGAATTCTAAAATTTTTCATCACAAGTTTAAACCAAGTTTATTCTTTTGTTAAAAGGAGGTAGAAAATACTAAGCATTTTATTAAGAGAACTAAGTTAAGGATTAACTGTAACTTGAATAAACACTTTATGATAAAATAAGTTTTAACTATCTTATTGAATGACACATACCTAAACTAAAGAAATCTCTTTGAAAACTTTTATGTAAGGTTTATCCAATATAACTTGAAAAACCTGTGGTCCCAAAGAACATTCCAGTCACATTTAACTGTTTTGTTCTTCTGAACTCAGAATATCCCAACAAGGAACAACTTCACCCTAATAGTAATGTGTATTGTTAGACAAGGAAAAATGAAGCTTTCTGGGTTTTCGAGGTAACTTAATCACCAAAGGAGGCCTCCCTGAAATCAGCATTTCCAAAATATTCCATTTCGCAACTGAGGTTTTTGCACTCAGGACAATATATTACAATAAAATTTGGGAAGTCTGAGAAATATGACATTCCCTCCACCATCCCTTTTTTTTTGTAAGGTCAGTTTTAGAAGAGTTCATTTGGAAGCTGACGTTCTGGAAATTGATTCTTCTAAAGCTTTGTATACAGTTACAGTATATTCCTTGAAAGTCTTTGGCATTGGTTATCCCAGCTTGAAAATCACGGCTCTGGAGGACACAGCTCTAAATCCTTAGCAAAATATCTCAGGCCCTTTGTGATCTAACCCTTATTAATTTCCCTCTTCCTGAATATCACTGGATGGCTCCCTTCAAACCCAGCTCAGGTCTGTCAAACTGTTTCCAGTTCTGTTTTCAGGACTTGCTGTATCTTCTCTAAAGCTACTTTGTATCTGGAATATCCTCTCACTTCTTTATTCCCACAAAACACCTGATAATTTTTCAAGGTTCCATTCAGTCCAATCAATAAGCAGCTGGTAACTTACTGGGCACCAAGGGGGTGGTTTTTATAGTGTCTCATAATTTATTGCAAGAAATGAAGGATGGATTGGAACACTGTCCCAAAGGGTTGCCCCAGCTGCTTGTTGATTGGCTAAATTAACAGGTGCTGAAGTTAAGGAAAATGCCATCTGGAGTATCTGAGAGCTCAGGGGTAACTCCATAAAGAAGGATTAAAACATTCCTTAGATCCAGAATAGGATTGTGAAGCCCAGGGAGCAGGTATAATAGTTTTCCAAGTGAGTCTGGATTAAATATCTTTCTAATGTTCTATCAGAGCACACAGCACACATGACAAATGCTTCTTTACTTGATTAAAATCTTCCCTAGACTACAAGCTCCGTGAACACGCACGCCTGTCCTGTGGACCACTGTATCCCCGGCGCCTTCCATGGCTCATTAAGTATTTGCTGATGTTTATTAAAAATTGTTGAATAATTAAATGAAGGGATGGAGGGATAAGGCGAAGAGTTAAATTCCACAGGATCTCAGATGCTGTTTCACTCTCTACAGTTTAGGAAAGTATTTTTCTATAGATGCTGAATGTGGGGAAGTAAAAAAAAAAAAAAAAGTGGGTATCTCTGTTAAATTCAGCCATGAAGCCTGAGAGGCGCTTGGGCTCACACCCAAGGGAGAATTTAAACCGCAAAGTGGCGGGAAGGAGGAGGCACGCAGGCCCAGGGTGAGGGGACGCAGCCGGGCTCGGGTACCCAGAGGCGAGGCGGGCTAAGTTCACACGCGTCGAGGAGGGAGAAAGGGGTTCCGAGGAGGGGTCAAGTCCCGGCCGGGTGGAGGGCCCCCTGGCCTCCCGGGGGATGGAGAGTCGGACCGGAGGAAGCCAGGCTGGAGCGGAAGCGGCCGGAGCGCTGGGGACCCGCGTGAAAGGACCCGGGCGGAGGGAGGGGCGGGAGAATAGGGTCGGCGGAGGGTCGTCGCCCCGGCTCCGCGGCCACACTCACCGAGAGGACTCCGCTTCGCCCCGGCACTGTGCCGGCTCCGCGCTGCTTGCTCCTCGGCCTGCTGGGCGAGCAGGCGGCCTCAGGCGCCCCTAGCAACCACGCACCGCCACGCGACCCGCGCTCTCGGCCGCCAGCTCCGCTACCGCCTGCCACGCACTGCGCGCGCCCCCAGTGGACGGACCCAGGGCCTGGAAGGGGCGATGGCGGTGGGAGGGGAGCAGGCGCGCGGAACGTCGAGGTTTGTGGGGCCTGGGAGGGCAGGCCGGCCCAGGCCTCGCGCACGCGCAGTCGCTTGAGGGCAGGTGGTGGAGCGAGGTTCTGGGAGATGTAGTCCCGAGATTAAATGCCCCCAAAGGCTCCATTCTGGCACTTCAGGAATCTCTCTTCTCTGATTCTACCTATCCCTATGGACTCTTTCATTGACCGTGCCTTAATTCGTTCTTATAAAATCAAAGCTCTCGGGCTTTATTAAAGAGATATATATTTTTAGTACTTTCAAATAAGCGCCTCTGGGTTTGACTCCAGGAAAGGAGAAATCACCAGATCCACTACGCTTCCCTCCAATCCACCTTCCCCTACCCCAACCCACTCAGCAGGGTACAGCTACAACCACCTGTTTTGTGGGCTTCAAGTGTGAACTTTAGGAAACACTGACTCAATTCATTATCTTCCCAGGCAAGACAGACCGTGCCCCCTCCGTCTCAAATGTTCCTAGACCTAATGGATTTGGAGATCTAAACAGAGCTGAAGGCTAACAAGATCTCTTCTGAACAGTCTGCTACATTAATAAAGTGGACAATAAAAGATGAAACTAACCTAATGAAAACAATCTGGACCTGAGCAAGGATGCTTAATAAATAATTGATTTAGGCAACAGTCGTTGAAGGATGCTAAAACTATCGGAGGATTGATGGAAGAATTTTACACTGGAAGGATGTCTGCCATCACCTGTATATTTTAAGTAATCTTAGATCATGAAACATAGGACAGCTAAAAAGTATGTCTCCTGATGTGATGCAATTTGAACTACACAGTAATATTTAGGAAGTAGTGTATTTTTGTCAAAAAAATTAAAAGTTGGATCTGAATCTAATCAAGCTTTTGGCTCCAACTTCCAGTTTTAAGAAATAAAGAGAAACACCACCACAAGAAAGCTATCGGACAAATCCAGAACATGGGCCAATATACAGATGACCTTGTTTCTTCAGTTTCAGAGTATAAAAAAACAGTAAGGTGTTCTAGATTGTAGATTTAAGAGACATAATCAAAAGCAATGCGTGGGCCTTGTTTGGATCCTGATTCAAACAAACCAACTGTAAAAAGATTTTTCAGACAATGGAGAAATTTAAATATGGACTGGGAACAAAAGAACATAGCCAATGTTAAGACACCATTATTAATTTTATTGTAGTTGACACTCCCCCCCACACACACACACACCCAAAGGATATATCCACATCCTAATGCCAGAAACCTGTAAATATTACCTTATACGAGGGCAAAAGTTGGGATTAAGGATTTTGAGAGAATGAGTTTTGAGATGATTAAGGAATTTTCCTGGATTATCTGGGTGGGCCCTAAATCCAATGACAAGTGTCCTTAGTGAGGCAGAGGGAGATGTGACAGACAGAGATGACATAGCAAAGAGGAGGCAGAGATTGGACTGATATGGCTACAAGCCAGGGAATGCCTGGAGCCACCAGAAGGTGGAAGAGGCAAGGAATGGATTCTCTCCTAGAGCCTTCTGAGGGAGTGGGGTCCTTTGGACAGCCTAATTTCAGACTTCTGGCCTCCAGAACTGTGTGATAATAAATTTCTGTTGTTTTAAGCCATTAAGTTTATGGAAATTTGTTGTGGTAGCCACAGGCTACTTTGGTTATTTAAGAAAATATGCAGGCCAGCTGAGTGGCTCAGTTGGTTAAGAGCTTGCTCAAGAGTGCAAGTTCTGAGCAACAGAGTCGCCGGTTCAATTCTCACATGGGCCAGTGATGCTGCACCCCGAGCTGAGCTGCCACTGAGCTACCAACAGGTGGCAAGATGGCTCAACTTGTGAGAACACGTGCTCTTAACAAAGCTGCCGGTTCAACTCCGGCATGGGATGGTGGCCAAGCCTACCCGCAACTAACTGGACACAGCATCTTGAGCTAAGCGACTCGACTGGACTTGGAGCTGAGCTTGCTGTGCCCTCCACAACTAAGACTGAAGGACAACTTGGCTGTTCCCCTTCCCCCCCCAACACTGTTCCCCTCCCCAAATTCCCCAATTAAAAAAATATATATATACACTTTTTTTTTTTTACAGACACAGACATATATGTTTTTCAGGATTAAATGACATGATGCTTTAAAACACCCCAGTAGCAACATGCACACCTGGCACCCAGGTCTCAGTTTCAAATACAGACAGTCCCCAATTTACCATGATTCAACTTAATGTTTTTTTGACCATATGATGGTGTGAAAGTGATACGCATTCAGTAGAAACCATACTTCAAATTTTGAATTTAATCTTTTCTCAGACTAGTGATATGCAGTATGATACTCTCTCGTGAAGCAATTTTTATTGGGTTGTCGGGAAAGTCATGACGCATTTTTGCAACGAAAAACAGAGAAAAAAGACGTCATGACTTTTCCGATAACCTAATAGTTCAATGCGTCAAACATTCTTCAGGCCCAGAATGCTTTCCACTGTGTATGAGTACATTAATGGTGAGTACCCATACAACCATTGTTTTTCACTTTTAGTACAGTATTCAATCAATTACATGATATAGTCAATACTTTATTATAAAATAGGCTTTGTGTTAGATGATTTTGCCCAACTGTAGGCTAATGTAAGTGTTCTAAGCACATTTAAGGTAGGCTAGGCTAAGCTATGATGTTTGGTAGGTTAGGTGTATTAAATGCATTTTCAAATTATAGTATTTTCAACTTACGATGGGTTTATCGGGAAGTAACCCCATTATAAGTCAAGGAGAATCTGTACCATTCTCATTTAAAAGGACCTGGGCTCCCTGGAGACGTGGATGATTCTAGGACCAGGGTAAGAAATACACAAGATGAACCTCAAGTATCTTGTACCAGAAAGAAGGTATTCAAAAAAACAAAAACAAAAAAACAAAAAACTAAACAAAACCACATTGTTGGGAGTATGTCATAGGAGCTAACTGAAAGAACTCCCAATGACTAAAATTGAAACAATGTGAGCAACAAAATTAAAGTAGTAGTTAGTGGTTTATAACCAAAGTATAAAACAAATATCCATGAGTCCCTATATAAATAAATGGTTGACTATGTTAAACAAATGTGGTAAAGAGACAAATCTCCTGTGTAGAAAAATTCCAAATAAATACTCAGCCCCAAAGGAGAGGGAGCATTACTACCTACTCCTTAAGTGTGGGCTGTGCAGAGTGACTTCTTTCCAAAGAGCACAGAACAGAAAGGGGAGTGGGGATCGGGCAAAAGGAGTAACAGTAGAAAAATCAGACAAACACTACTTCAGCCAGATAATCAAGGTCAAAATCGACAGGCATAATTGGGTTGTTGGAAAAGTCATGATGCATTTTTGCAACGAAAAACAGAAAAACACATCATGACTTTTCTGACAACCCAATAGATAGCAATGTGCCCTTGATATGTGATGAAAATGGAACCTTACTTTTGTAAATAGTCCTCCCCAAAACTATAACCCCAATCTAATCATGAGAAACATCAGATGAATTCCAATGGAGGGACACTGTACAAAATACCTCACCAGTACTTCTCAAAATTGTCAAGGTCATCAAAAACAAAAAAACTTCTGAGAAACAGCCAGAAGACAACTAAATGTATAATAAGATCTTGGAACAGAAAAGAGACATTATGCAAAAACCAAGGAAATTTGAATAAAATATGAGTTTTAGTTAATGATATATAAATATTGGTTCATTAATTGTAACAAATGTATCATAATACTGTAAGATGTTAATACTAGGGGAAATTATGTTATGTGTAGGGGTGGGGTATAATATGTGAACGCTGTACTATCTGCTCAATTTTTCTGTAAATCTAAAATTTTTCTAAACTATAAATTCTATTAAAAAACCCCAAAATACAGCAAAACTATAGCAACAGAAATTTGCCCAGCCCACCTTAGCCAAGTGATCAGGAGTACACTGACCCCCCAATAATGGGGGGAAGCAACATCATCAACCTCCAAATATGATGTACGAAGAGGACACATCACTAGTTATGTAGTGTTTCTGCCAAAAATGTATAACCTGAATCAAATCACAAAGAAACATCAGATGTACCCAAATTGGCCAGTACTCTTCAAAACATCATTGTCAGAAAAGACAAAGCAAGGATTAGGAAGGATTCTATCAAAAGGTTACAGGCTAAAGAGAATCACAACCAAATACAAATCATGATCTTGGACTGGATCCTGAACCAGGAGAAAAATTGGTATAAAGAACATCATTGGAACAATTGGCAATATTTGAATATGAGCTGTAGATTAGTTAATAGTATTATATCAATGTTAAATTTCCTGACTTTGTTCATTATACTGTGGTTATATAAGTAATTATCCTTGATCTTAATAAATTCACTAAAGTATTTAAATGTAAAAGGGTATGAAAATGGTTCAGAAAAATATGATAAAATTAATTGTGGCAAAATGTTAACAACTAATGAATCTGGGTGAAGAATATATGGGAGTTCTTTGTACTATTCTTACAACTTTTCTTTACATTTTAAGTTATTTCAAAATAGAATGCATTTTTAAAACTATGGCAATGACAAAATTATAAAAGGAATAGGTAGAACAAGTGTGGCAAAATGTTGGTAACATCTGAATCTGTGGGATCAGGGTACGGGGGTTTATTATACCATTCTCTCTACTTACAGAAGTTTGAAAACTTTAAGCTCTCTCCCCTCCACCCAAAAGGGAAAACACATACACGCTCATACACAGGCACAGATCTTCAAACCTTCCAGACATTCTCTGAATTCCAGGCTCTATTCAGACCGTTCACTCCCAATCCTCTCAACACTTTGTGCACTAATCACTACATATAAAATTGTTTTCATATTTCTAATCCTTTAGGCTATATGCTCCCAAGGATGGGAACATGTTTTCTTATTATGCGTCCTCATAAAATGATTAACTATTGCTTTATGCAATAGCCTTGCAAGTTTGGATGTATATTTAATTTCTCTATATCAAATTATTTATGTACCAGATGAACATGATATCTCAAGCTAGTATTTAATGAGATAGC